CACCTCGGGGAACCTGTCGTCCCTGTCGTTGTCCCTATCGCCGGCGTCCTTCTTCTTGGCCTCATCATTGGGGAGCCCGAGCTTGGCGTAGTAACACCGGAGCATGGTGCACTCTTCGAGGGTATGCTTCACCGGGCCCTGGTGGTAAGGGCAGGGCTTCTTAAGCATGTCGTCGAAGAGCCCGGGGCCTCTGGCGGGGCCTTGGGGATTCTTGTGATCTGCGGCAGCGACTAGACCGGCCTCGAGGACCTCCTGCTTCCCCTGGCGACCCTTTTTCTTTTTCTTGGGGAGGTGGGGGGCCGAGGCCCCGAGGGCCTCGTCCCTCCACTTCCCCTTGGCGTCATTATCGGGGAAGATGGCCCCGATAGCCTCTTCGCCTGAGGCAAAGTTGGTGGCGATGTCGAGGAGTGCGGCCGCCGTGGTCGGTACGTTCCGGCCTAACTCTTGGACTAGGTCTCGGCAGGAGGTGCCGGAGAGGAAGGCTTGGACAATTTCTGAGTCGTCGACGTAGGGCAACTCGGTGCATTGCTTGGAGAAGCATCGGATGAAGTCTCGGAGAGACTCGTCCGGCTTCTGGCGACAACTCTTGAGGTCCCAGGAGTTCCCGGGGTGCACGTATGTGCCCTAGAAATTCCCGACGAATACCTTTACCAAGTCGCGCCAGTTGTGGATCTGCATGGGAGGGAGGTGTTCGAGCCAGGCTCGCGCCGAGTCTGACAGGAACAAGGGGAGGTTGTGGATGATGAGTAGGTCATCGTCCATGCCGCCTAGCTGACAAGCCAGGCGGTAATCGACCAGCCACAGCTCAGGGTTGGTCTCGCCGCTGTACTTTGCGAGGTTGGCTAGTTGCTGAAACCGGGCCAGGAAGTGAGTGCCGCAGATGGCCTTGCTGAAGACTCGAGCGCCAGGCGACCCAGGAGAAGGATTGCGGTCCTCCCCACTATCGTAGCGGCCGCCTCAGTGCGGGTGGTAGCCTCGGGCGGGCCCATCATTGTCATGGCGCTGTCGCCTGCTGACCACATCATGATCGCCTTGCACCTCGCGTCGGTCGCCGAGGCGGTTGTTCACCGAGGGGACCTTGTTGGCAGTTGGTGCCCGAGCAGGCTCTGGACGAACCGAGGCCTCCCTATCCTACCGATGTGGTGCCGTGGGTAGTTCCAAGGCACCCCCGCGCCATCGAGAGGCGGAACTTTCGGCCTGCTGTACCGTGGCAGTCTTGAGGAGGTCTCGGAGCTCGCCGTGGACCCGTCGCCCCTGCGAGGTAGAGGGCTCGGGCATTGTCCAGAGTAGCATCGGTGCTGCCGTGACGTTCTGGCTAGCACGATTGAAGATAGGTGGTTGCTCGCCCCCTTCATCGTTGTTGATGCGGTGGTTGACATCGCGAGCCCTCCGTCGGGCTGCTCCGCCATCACCGCGACCCCGCTGCTCTCGCTCGAGAGTGTCTCGGAGCTGCTGCAGAAGGAGTTGGTCTTGTTCGACCTTAGCCTGAAGCTCACGGAGCTGCTCCAAGTCAAGGCGTCGAAGTTCCTCATGGGCGGGGTTCTCGTTCCGCGCTGTCGGGGGTTCGACGCGCGGAGGTGTGGCGTCACCTGCCCCCTCGCGGGGCGGGGAGCGATTGCCTACCCCTTCGTCCTCATCGCCGCTCTCGGCACCCCAAGCTCGACGACGAAGCACTCATGAGTGGGATCGTAAGTGCCTTCGTCATCGGAGTCGGAGTAGCCAAAGCAGTAGTCGCTCGCGGCCATGAAGCGGCGCATGGCTTCAGGGTCGCGAAGCCCGGAGAAGTCTGCTCCGGCCCACACCTCGTCCTCCTCTGAGGAGTCAGTGTGGGTGTGGGTCGAGGTTGTGGTGTAGAGGTCGAGGGCGAAACGTTGGTGGCGTCCTGAGGGCTCCGCGTGAGCAAAAGCATAGGCTGAAGCGTAGGCGGCGGCATTGCTCAACCCGAAGGGGTACGGGGATGGTGCCATCGCCAGGCTCCGCTCCGCCGGAGTCGATTCCTTACCAGCGTCACCAACTGCCAACAAGGTCCCTTGCCCAGGATTAAGCTGGACAGGTCCCCAACCAGGGACTCAGTGCCAACAGCCTGGTCAACAACTGCCAACAAGCGGGGCAGAGCTTGATGATGGGGCATTGCTGCGCGCCACCGGCGTCTTTCCCTTGCCCAGGATTAAGCTGGACAGGTCCCCAACCAGGGACTCAGTGCCAATAGCCTGGTGTGGGATACTGGCGGAGCGCGGTACGTCGCCCTGAGCTCGCAGGGTGTCGGGGTGGTCCCGCCCATGTCGTACCTGGCGAGCATGACGTGAGCGGCGGCCCGGGCGCCTTTCGCGCCTGGGCTGCTGGTACGTGATGTCGTCGTCGGTCGGTGGGGCTCTGGGTGTGAGGAGTACCATATCGTACTCACATCCTAGAGACATGAACTCTAGGCTCCCAAACCAAATCACCGTGCCGAGACGCAGTGGTCGCACGGGGTCTACCATCCGGAACTTGGTGGGACGATTAAGCTAACACGTAGTATGCCCCCTACCTGGCGCGCCAACTGTCGGTGTTTTGGACCGGTGGATCCTCAACCAACTAGTGAAAGTGTACTGCGTGCTCCTAATCCGGGATGCTGATGCAAAGAGACACAAGGTTTATACTGGTTCAGGCAATAGGTGCCCTACGTCCAGTCTGAGAGAGCGATCTTGTATTCCTTGCACCGAGGTGCTTGTAGTAGGGGTTTACAAGCAAGGCGAGGGAGAGAGTTTGTCCTAGGTCTCTGCGTGGAGCGGCGTGGGTTGTTTGAGATGTTGATCTCTCGCAGTGAGGGAGCGTGCGTATTACAGAGTGTTGCTCATTGCTTGCGCGTGTGTGTCTATCTGAGCGATGTCTCCGTGAGTGTGTGTCTAGAAACGGCCCCGGTCACTCCCTTTTATAGTTGAAGGGGAGGACAGGGGCGATACATGTGTTTGCTATGTGGCGTTTCGTGGGTGGAGCCGGTATGTCTGAGCCCTGTGCTTGTCACTGTGCCGGCATGGTCGACAGAGCGGTTTTGTCCTCGGTGCACTGGAGCGATGCGTCGATCATGCCTGATCCCGTGCGACGTGGGGGCTCCTGTGATGGCTTGGCGCAGGGCATGACACAGACTGTGGACGACATGCCGGTCGATGTATGTCAACAGCGTAGAGAGCCGAGGCCCGGTCGGTGCAGATGCTGAACCATTGTGGGGGGCTCGGCGGGCGTGAGTCCCGAGGCTACAGGGGTACGGAGGCGGGTAGTTGAGGCTCGGAGGGAGCAGTTGGTCTTTTATGCTGATTCCGAGGCTACAGGGACCGGGACATGACTCTCCATGCCGCACTGTCCTCGGAGCAGGTGGGGTTAGGCAGCACAGTGCCGCATGGGTGTCAGTCGTGGGCACAGTGCCGAGCATAGCAGCAGGTAACCCCTACCCCGTCCCGTCCCGGACGGCATGGCGTTGATGCGACTCCCATCTCATCGGTCACTCCGCTGTGTCGAGCCGTCGTTCGGCTGACGTCGCGGGAGTGGTTGGTTGCGTTAGTTGGACGTGACATCCCGGTTGAGGCGGCGGTGACAGGGTAGCTGTCGAGCTGGCCTCGAGCGAGGCGGAGAACCGGTACCTCGTCTGAGATCTTTCGGGCGGGGCCTCGGGCGAGGCGGAGAGTTGGTACCTCGTCCGAGGCCTTGCGGTGTGGGCCTCGGACGAATCGGAGAATCGGCCGAGGCCTCGCGGTTGTCTCCTGGCTTCGATATTTATAAGGTTTAAGCAATTTTTTCGGTTCTTGCTTAGGGTACCCCTTTTTATGTTATCCGACAACTACCCCCATATGTCCCAAATTATAGGTTGCTTTGATTTTTCTAGGTACATAACTTTTGCTATGCACCTAGATATGCAATATACCTAGATATATAATAAAAGTTGTGTATCTAGAATAAACCAAAATGATATATAAATCGAAACGGAGGGAGTACTTATGTTGGAGTGCAGGATTTTTTCTGTTAAATAAAACATTGAAAGACAACAACTGAATAATCTGTCGACATGTCAGTGACGGAAAGGTGTAGGAATGTAGATAAACAAAAGAGGGAATGATTTAAAAGGTTGGAGGTAAAATAAAATAAAGGTGCGCGAAATGATTAAAAAAGTCGAAGGTAAAATAAAACAGAGGTGCCGGTAAATAAAGAAGGAATGATTAAAATAAGATAAAATGAAAACAAATAAATTTTCGAGAGAGTTGGAGGTAAAATAAAACAAAGGTGTGGGAAATGGTTAAAAATGTTGGGTTTAAATAAAATAGAGGTACCGCGTGTTAAGCGCGGAGAGCACCTCTAAAAAAAACAGAGGTGTCGGTAAATAAAGGGGGGAGGTTAAAAATGGAGATAAATTGAGAACAAATAACAAATGGTTGAGAGTGGGATTTGATTGGAGGTAAAATGAGAAAAAGCTATAAATTGTTGAGAGAATTGTTGAGTGTGATTTGATCGGAGGTAAAATGAAAAAAGTATAAATTGTTGAGAGTGTGATTTGGTTGGAGGTAAAATGAAAAACAAATATAAACTCAACTGTTGAGAGTGGATTAAAAATAAAGGTAAAATAAGAAAATTGAAATAAAAATGAAAAAATAAACTGTTGAGTGTGGGACTTGAACCCACGCCCATTCGGGACAGAACCTTAATCTGGCGCCTTAGACCAACTCGACCATCTCAGCAGTTGAATATTTGTTTCAAATTTATCATATTTGTCCACATAAGGTACAGAGTATAATAACAAACCGTCCCCTGCGTGTACTCTTCTTCACACGTTCGTCGTGGCGTGCTACCGGCAAAGTATCCGTGTCGTATGCGCGCGCTTCCGACACTAACCCAGCCCAGGAAGCCATACCAAAGTCCTCTGTCGCCTTGTCGGATATGCGCGTGATCCCATTTTCCTGGCTGTATAAAAAGATGCCGCGATGCCCTCGATCACCATGCACAAATCACAAGCCCATAGATACACAACAGCCATGGCCGCTGTCCGTCGTCCTGCCTGCGCTTCCTGCAGCTCACTGCTGCTCGCCTCCCTGCTCTTCATCGCCATGGCCATATTCGCCCTCGCCGCCGTGGCCAAGGGCGCGGGAGAGCCCGACCCGGACCCCGAGCGCGGCGGGGGCCCCATGGACTGCCCGATAGAGTGCGCCTCGAAGCTGACCGGCTTCATCATGGAGACCATCAAGTGCTACGCGGCGTGCATGGGAGGAGGAGGAGGAGGAGGAGGGGAGCTGAGTGCCGCTGAGGAGAAGCACGCGGCGGCCGTCATGCGTGGGGCGTGTCGTCAGCGCGTGCTGGGGTGACTCGCTCGTCACCGTCACGTACGGGCTCACGGCGTGTATCCAGGCAGGCAGGAGCGGCGCACCAAGCGACAAGAGTATAATATAGAAAGAGTAAAATGCATGAGAGGTCCATTAACTTTTAAGAGGGTGTTATCTAGGTTCATCAACTCTCAAACTATATTTTTTAGTCCTTAAACTTTTTAATTGGTTCACAAGAGGTCCATACCCTTCGTTTATGTTTGTATTTTGCAGAATCCTCCATCTATTTCTTTTTCTTTCACACGCTTACCCCTCTTTGTCTTCTAAGCGCAAGGCGTGTCCATTTGGGTGCTTCGGAACGTGTGCTTCATCTTGTTTATCATCCTGCTCGACATGACCTTCGCCCTGCTGGACCTCCACGAAGAGCACATTGTGCACATCGACGCTGTCACGAAGCGCGTGTGGCTCGCGGCCGGCGTGCACATGGATGACGACTACCTCCCGTTCCTTCGCCCATTCTTCTGGCAGCACTAGCGCCATGCCCTTGCCGTCCACCGCAAGCAGATCGACACTCTGCTCCCGCTCATCAACGTACAGGCGCCGCGCCATCCTCTAGGCCTTTGTCAAGGAGTTCCTCCAGAAACACCCGCCACGTACTTCTCTCTCACTCTCACCCGTGCAAAGCTCGCCGGTTACGACGTGGCCGAATCTGGACATCTTCCTTCCGACCATCTCCGAGGATCCGAAGTTGTGGGTGTGGCCAATGGAGTTCGACCCGTACAGGTTCGTGTCCGGCGGCAAGACGGTGGACATGACGGGGTCGGCGGGGATCCGGATGATCCAGCTCGGCACGGGGCGTGCGGAGAATCTGCCCCGGACTTGCCATGCCATGGGGACGACGCACATCGCCCTGATAGTGGCGCAGATGGTGCAGGCGTTCGAGTGTAGCGGGCACCCGTCGCAGCCGCCACTGGACTTCAAGGACAAGATGGAGTTCACGGTGGTGATGGATCGGCCGCTGCTCGCCGCGGTGAAGCCCCCGAAACCTCTCGTTCTGATCGAACGTGTGCATGGGAACAGGGTGCGTGCGCTTGCGTTTGCCGTTTGCCGTTTGCCGTTTGCCGTTTGCGCATGATGTCCAGCTAGCGTGGTACTGTGGCAGTACCGACGTCGTTCGTACGTGTGCACATGCATGGCCATGGCCATGGGCCAGGGCTGCATGCTGCTGCCCTGATATCAGTTCAGGACGCAAGCAAGTTGCCACGGGTACTAGCTAGCTACTACTACTCTCCTGATTCGTAGTCGTTCATGAGCTGTTAGCGCCTCCATTGTATCACTACTGGAAAGTCGAATCGTTCTGTGGGTGACGAATTTTTCTGTGCATTTTTTTCGGCACACACAGAAAAATTATGATTTTTCTGTTGATTTCAAAATATCCCGACAGAAAAATACGAAAACCCACAGAATAATTATATAATTTTTCTATACGTGACAATACACACACGGAAAAAATCAGCACTTATAGGGACTTCAAGGTCTCCAACATCCGCTCCATCATGGACCAGAGGCTGGCGGGCCACTACTCGGTGAAGGGCGCGCGCCGTGATGAAGGTGGTGTTGTAGTGCACTGCGCAGCAGCCGTGGGACAGGCCACGTATGGGCATCGTCGATGTGCTGGAGCGGCTGCAGGGGTAAATGTGTGAATGAAAAGGAAATGTAGGGAGTTTTCTGTAAAATACAAATATAAAAGAAGGTGTATGGACCTCTGGTGAACCACTTAAAAAGTTTAAGGATCTAAAACTACAGTTTGAGAGTTGATGGACCTAAATGACACCTCCTAAAAAGTTAATGGACCTTAGATGCATTTTACTCATATAGAAATATATATATATATATATATATATATATATATATATATATAACGGAACTCGATATATCCACGTATTTATAGACATAGTTACTTCCAAGTGTACGAATTAATGTACCACTGTCCACAGTACGTGTGATCATTATTTGAATTTGTGATGCTACATACAGTACTTGTACTACTCATCCCCGTACCCCTTCCGAAGAGAAATGCTAAAACACACTCGGGTGTTTTAGCTCCCGTGGGCATGCGATTTCTGGGCGGTCGGATCCATGCGGGGACGCGGTGGAGGCCACCCGATCCCACAACGCCCGTGCTCCGTGGCTCCTTTCTCTCTCCCCTCCGACGGCGGGTTCCGGTGACGCTGGCGTCGATGAGGTAGGCGTCCTCCTCCTCCTCTTCATCCTCCAACGGAGACGAAGACGACGGCGGCGGCAGCTAGGGTTCCAGCAAGCCACTTCCCCTCTTTCTTCTCCAACTTCGACGGGTATAGAAGGGGTTGACCAGGGGAGGCAGATAGGCCAGGCGGTGGGGATGGTGTCCGGGCGGTTTAGAGGAGTTGGCGGTGGTAGCAGCGGCCGGGCCAGGTCGGGGCAGGGGAGGCTCGCCGGAGTTGGAGATGGCAGTGGCCGAGCTCTCCGGGGCTGGAGAAGATGGTGGATGTGGGGGGAGGGGAAGAGGGAACCCTAGCGCCCGTGGCGGGGCGGTGGTCGGCGGTGGGGGCGAGGACGAGGTCCGGCGGCGATGAGCAGAGAGAGGAGGAAGAAGACCAGTACAAAAAATATCAGGTGCTCCCTCCGTCTCAAACACTCGGATCCGAGATAGATAGACTCATTGTGAAACGTCGTCTACTCGTCTTATCGTTTTTTTGACACGAGGCAAACTCCATTCCCATTAATCAAACGACGGAAATACATGAGTTTTGAACAGCACCATAGAAAGAGACAGCGACCAGAGACCAACCGCAACCTGTGCTACGGTACGACTGGAACTCTGACTCAGAACCCAGCCTGACCACAGTGCTACACACCAAAACCAAAAGGAAACATCCAGTCATAGAACCACCATCACAAACTACCGTTACAGACTCCACCGAGCTACTGAAAAACACATCGTCAACGACCTGTGTCCAGAGGCAGATGGTTGATCGAGGACCGTAGTAGTACTGAATAGCTGATGATGACCGGCAGCAATCGCTGGCAGGCGTGGCAGCAATGCATTGCAGCTGATGACCGGCGGGTGACGGTGAGCGCCTGCCATCTTTTCACACGTTCCTCATGCCGACCATACTCCAAGCTCCATCCATCTCGATCGTGCTTATCCTAGCTAGTAGAAAACGCCTCTCACGCACCCTTCGGACTTCACTGTAATTTCACTTCCTCCTGCGGTATATATATTGTGCTTTCGTCGCAGGGTCCAACACAAAAACGAAACGCGCCAAACAGCCAGAGCCCTGAGAAGCCATGGCCTCTGCCCGTGCCACCATGCGGTATGCCCCGGGCGTCGCCATCGCCGTCGCGCCGCTCCTCATCGCCACGGCCTCCGCCGCTGAGACAGGCGAGGCCGACCCGGACACCGCGCGCGACAACCAGAGGATCGTCCTGGACTGCACGATGAGGTGCGTGACCGAGGCGATGGGCTGCGCCACGAGGTGCGCGGGCGCGCGCCCCGACGAGGCGCCCGTGTGCGCCGCGGCCTGCGTCCAAAGCGACATCGGCTGCCTCGCCGGCTGCAGGCCGCCGCAGCCTGGGCCTGATCACTCGTCTCCGCCCGCGCCCGTGCCACCAGCCGCGTGATGAGCGTGATGCAACCGCTCCGTCGTCCCTCGGCGCGAGCGCGAGCGTGAGCGTGGATGCGTAGTCGATATTGATCGATCGGCGGCCTTGCATGCGGTTCCCATGATATCTAACTTGTGAAAATGTGTAATTCATGTCTTTGCCGTTAGTGGAAGATCTTTTAATTAATTAACTTGTTCAGTATACATCTATATATATATCAATATCCATACCTATATCTATATATATCCCTAGTACTAAAGAGGCAAAATTTCTGCCAACAAAAAAAATTTCGTCCAACTTTACACAACACTAATCTCCGTTTCCAGCTCGCAGTCCAAATCAGATCCGTAACCACCAGCAGCAAGGCAAAGGCAGGACGTGCACGTCCACCGATGGCCCAGCCCACAAGACGTACGTCAATGAAGACAGGTTAGCGTACAAGTCTAAACTTGTCCGATCTCTCTTGCATCGCCGGTTTGGCCAAAACGATATCACAGAGACTCAACAAATCATAGCGCACACACATCCCGAATCGTATACAAATTGTATCCCAAATCGAATAAAAGCAATCAATAAATCGAGCCCCATCGACAAGAACTGCTCGTCTAGACGTCCACCGTAATTGGACCCCAATGCAGCCATCGGCTACTACCTTGACGGCCATGTGGTCTACATGAGGGCCGCCGGGGAAGATGGGAAGAGGGCCACTGCACCGTTGATCGCCCGTCCGGACTCTTTGGGATGTCGCCGCGCCTGGCAAGTCTCCCATCAGAGTATCGGACGTCCGCGCACCCCGCGACGCCGCCGGCAGTGCTTGCCGTCCGCGCCCCCCGCGAGGCGTCCGCACATCTCGCGGGGACACCGACCCGGACGTCTGCGTGCGCCTGGCGAAGTGGCGAAGCTGCAGCCCACCAGCCCGTCGCGATGCCGCAGCTTCCGGCCTTTGCTTCGGATCTAACTGGATTTGAGAACAGATATGGCATGGAGGAGGAAGGAAGAGGCAGGTGGTGACTTTCCGATGGGTGTCGACGCACGAGTACGAGTGAAGATGTGGCATGCGTGATAATGGTGGACCGTGGACGGTTGGGGTTCCAGGTGATTTTTTTTATGTGTTAACAAGTGGGCCCCCCTGTAATGCAAAGCTGCTTGGTAGACGCTTAAAAAAAGACTAATCTGATGGTGCTTAAATGATTCATACGATTAGAAATCCTCTTAAGCATCTTTTAAGCCCACAATAAATTTTATAGACAGAGCAAAACATAAATAAATAAAAATGCACTGTTCATGTCTTCGTTCCTCGTAAACATTTGGTAGTTTTTTCTTCTGTTGCAACGCACATGCACTTTTGCTAGTTTAATAATAAAGAGACAAAATTTCTTGGCATAATTTTTTTCGACCTACTCTGATCTCTATTTGGATTCTGGTTTCTTGTCCGGTTAATTTTTGGCACCTAAAATTTTCGTCCAACCTAATTAGGCAGTGTCCTTTCAGCCTAAGTAGCGCTCCGTTTGGTTTCGTTGTGTCGAGTCCGTTCCGCTATTTTTTTTTTCTGTCCGTTTATTCTTACTCCGTCTAGGGTCGTGCCCAACTACGGATTTGAGTCCGTGTGTTCCTCAGGCATGACCTTTTTTTGTTTTTTACTTTCCCAAATATCTCCTATTAAATAAATATAGAAAAATAATAAATGCAGGTCCTTATTAAACTATCGATACTTGGCTTTGGTCCGACTTTTCTGGTTTTGGTTTTTATTTTTTTTCCTTCGTTCGTCTATTTCCGTTTATGTTCGATTTTCTTTTACGTTCTTTACCTCCGTGGTTTTTTGTTTTGGTTTAGTTGGTTGCACCTTCTTGTTTTCCGTCTGTTTTCTCACTATGAGTTATTCCTTTTTTTCATAATAAAATATAAATAAATATGTTTTCCATCTGTTTTCTCACTATGAGTTATTCCTTTTTTATAGTAAAATATAAATAGATAATAAATACAATATTATGTGTCTCTAAACCATTGGCCATTTCTTATGGACAATCACTACCAAATTATTGATGTAGTTTTGATTAGAAACAAAATTTGTTCTTATTAAAACCTAGATTATTCGCCAATGGTCTAAATAATCAAACTATGAACTAAAAATTTTAATTGTTTTTGTCTAATCCAATCTAAATAAATGTGTTTTTGCAATCCCCAATGAGGGCTAGCACGTAAAAAATCAAGAGAAGTCTCCCGTCATAATTATCAACAGACAAATCAATCTCTAACATGTCGGCAACTAACTCCTTGCCGACTTTAATCATATAACTATTGTATTTCAAGTGCTCAAATACCACAAAACTCGATATAATCAATGCAATACATGAATAGAATAAAAAATAAAGTTATGATGTATCTAAGTCTAAATATTTATGTGCTTTGCAACAGGACAAAAAATATCAAGTTTGTATTTTAATTTGATACATTATCATATTATTGATACATTAACTTATATTATGGATGTCATGTTCTCATCATAAAATAAATTATATGTTTTAGTTTTTTTACACAAACAGTAAAACCTAAATAACATGTACCATTCCTATTGTCATACCCACAAATATTTGATAGTTTTCCCCTGTTGCAACGCACGGGCATATTTGCGAGTATATATGGGCATGCAGCCCGGGGCACGGCCCAAAGCCTGCCTTTTTGGCCCGGCACGAGGACGGCCCGTCCCGGTGCTAAGTGGGCCCAAGCTGGCACGGCTGGAGGAGCAGGTCGTGCCTGGGCTGCACCCCAGACACGTAGGGCTAGCATGGCACAGGCTGAAATTTAGTGGAGGCCCGATGTCAGCCTTGGCCTACTAAAAGCCCACGCTCCCACTCTGCAAAACCCTATCCCCAGCCTTGGCCTGCTAAAGGCCCATTCCATTCCCTTCCACCCAAACCCTACATCCCACTCCCCTCCCCCCGTGCCCCCACACACGCCGCACGTAGACACGCACCTTCTCGGCCTCTCCCACGACGCCGCGACTCCCGCAGTCCTGTGACCGCGAGGCGGCAACCGACTCACCTCCGTAGCCCCAAGCACCATCGGTCGCCTCCTCCTCACCCCCCATACCACCGGCCTCCTCCTCCTCCTTCATGCCATCCATGCGACCACCTCATCCTCCTCCTCCATGCCATCCACGCGGCCACCGGGTTCGAGCGAGGTGTTCGGCCTCCTCCTCCTCGGGGACAAGCGCTGTGTTGTGTTTGGCCTGCTGCTGCTCCTCGGGGGCAAGCGCGCGGTGCGCACCGGCAGTGCCGCCACCTCCCGTGACCTCCACTTTCCTCTCCCTCCCTCTATCTTGACATTCATGGGCCTTGGTGTCGACAAAAGATGCTCAGCAATCCATCGAGGGGGCTACCCGTGATGGTAGATTGATCGAAGAGGTGAGCGAGATCAGGAGCGAGATGGTGACAAGACACAACATTTATACAGGTTCAGGGGGCTACCCGTGATGGTAGATTGATCGAAGAGGTGAGCGAGATCAGGAGCGAGATGGTGACAAGACACAACATTTATACAGGTTCAGGCCGTCAGCTTGACGTAATACCCTCATCTTGTGTCCAGTCGGTCTGTATTGGCTATCATATATGATTGCGCGTGTTTTGTGGGGGTCCCCTACCCGCCTTATATAGCCCGGGGGTAGGGTTACATGCCGGTCAGGTCTAAGTCCGATTGGGTAAGAGATATTCTTTACATGGAATTATACATTCGGCATATCCTAACAGATTCAACGTGATCTTTAGGATGCTGCCGAGATGCCATGCGGCATATGCCGAGCTGTGTCGTGCGCTGCAAGCCTTCGTCTTGTGGGCTGGACCATCCCTATTGGTGCGACCCATGTGTCCTACCGTGGGTACCTAGGGTCAAACCCCCATAGCTAGTCCCCGAGCTCCTTGTATCTGCTTGGTGACACTGTCTTGATCAAGTTCGAGCAGTTCATCATGAAGCCGATCAGCTTGACTGATGATCCGAGCGGTGAAGATGAAAACCGACCAGCTTGACTAGTGGCCAGGGCGATGAAGTCACTTGCCGATCAGTTTAACTGACGTGCCGACCTATGAGGCCAGCTACCGAGCAGTTTAGCTGACCAGCAAGCCTCGGACTTAGCCAAGTGAAGCTCACAAATAGGATGTAAGGAGCTCAACAGAAAAATTTGAGAATTCTTGGTCGGTGAAGTGTACACACTTAAGTGCCGTTTGCAATGGCGTCGATGACGTGGTCATCAGAGCAGAGCAGAGGCATTAAGTAACAAACTAGACGTAGTCAAAGCACCATGTAGAAGAAATAGTACGTGCACCGCAAGGTGCATTGTACACAATATAGTCCCCGAGCCTGAGATTAGGTGGAGAATACACCTGGTGTCAGGGGCTTGAAGAATAAGTAGCAGTCCTCGACGTAGCCGAAGAAAAAGGCAGTCCCCAGCATAGTCGAGAAATCAAGTCATCAAGAAACAGTACTTTCACCGCAAGGTGAAGTGTACACACTTAGTCCCCAAGCCTACTAGAAGATGAAGGGCCTGTTCGGCAGGACTGAAAAATACTGTTCCAGCTGATTGTTGTGAGAGAAAAATACTATTCTGTCTGGACGTGAACAGTGTTTCTGTGAGTGAGCTGGCCAGCCAGGCTCAGCCCAGCCAGCCAGCCGAACGCTCTTGAAGAATAAATCTTGTAGCAGGGTCAAAGAAAAGCATGACCGATAGCCTGCGCGAGCCATCGAATAACCATGGAGCAGTAAACACAACAAGGTGAGAAAACAGGTCACCTGTTGGTAGCTTCCTATCAAAGGAAAACAACGGCCCATAAAACAACCCATTTAATGGATATGGCGGAGAAGTCGGAGCGACACGCAGTAACTACAGGTGAGCGCATGCGCATGGCGCAGCGAATGCATGAACTGGCGCACGTGGCGTGGCACGGTTTCCTAAAAACCTTGGAGATGAAGGGGCGAGAGTGAATCGTTATAAGGCCCAACCCACCCCCGCGCATGGCGCAGTGCAC